TGGTTACCTGCACAGCATCCATCCCATCTGATGATGCCTCATCTTCATTCACATGGCTGCCACCCATCACTCCTTGCTTTGATTATTGCAGCAGCCTCCTCATCAGCCTCTCCACTTTGTGGTCACTTCGATGGTTGATGCTGCCTCCAGACATCTGTCAGAATCATCTTCCTGAGGTACTGATCTGACCCTGACATTCTTCTCCTTTGGCCTACAGTGAGTCCAAACTATTAATAGGAATATGAAAAAAAATGTTCCAAATCACCAATAATTAGAGAAATGCAAATTCAGGTTCCATGTTATACCCATCAGTTAGGTGGTATAGCTGATAGAGTACTAGACCTGGAGTCAGGAAGACCTGAGTTCAAATCCAGCCTCAGGCACTTACTAGCTGTGTGACCCTGGGCAAGTCACTTTGCCCTAGTTTCTTCTTCTGTAAAATGGGGATAATAACAGTACCTACCTCCTGGAGTTCTTGTGAGGCTAAAATGAGATAATATTTGTAAAGCACTTTGGAAACCTTAAAACACAATATAAGTGCTAGCTACTATATTACTATTGATTGAACTTAGGCTGAGTGCAATGAGCATTCAAGAGAACAATTTATGCAATAACAACAACATTGTTTTAATTTTTTTTCAGTTAACAAAAATCTGTTCTCTCTCCCCAACCTCTGCCCCTCCTCAATTGAAAACACACACACACACACACACAGATAGATAGATAGATAGATAGATAGATAGATAGATAGATAGATAGATAGATAGATAGATAGTCAGGCAAAAACCCCAAACAAACCCTGCGATGTTTCCGCGTTGGCCGTGCCCATCTCCTTCTGGCCCATGAGTCCCTCGCCTCTGTCATCCTTGCTCCTCTGGAGCTGGAGTAAATCATCGGGTTTTTCAGAGTTCTTAAGTCTTTTGAAGAGTAACAGCAGCATTGTAAAGACAGTCAGCTTTGACGGCCAAGCCTTACCTCAGGTCCAGACAGAGGACTAGTGATGGAATATGCTGCCCACCTTCCACCAGAGAGGTACAGAATGGGCAAGGATTCATTTAGCTGGACTGGCCCCATTTGTTACAAGGATTTTGTTTTTCTTTTTCTTCCCAAGGAGGGAAGGGGAGAAAACAACTGCTTGTTAATTGGGGGAAAATATTTAATTTTTAAAGAAGCCTTCAGTAGAATAAATTGCAGCCTCCTTTGCCGAAGACCTTCCCCGTCTGGCTCCGGCCTCCTTTTCTGGCCTGCTCTCACATGGTTCTGTGGGTGCCCTCTGAGTTGTAGCCCCCCTGCCCTGTCTGCTGCACCTGGAACTCCACAATCCCTGGCCTGGAAAGGTGGTACTTGTTTTCACCTCTGCGCCTCCAGGTCCTCATCCTTCAAGGCTTCTTAGCCCAGGCTCATCGTTCTTGGAAGCCTGTTTGGAAAAGTCAGGCAGATTCTGGCCGTGTGATTATTTTCACCAAGCCAGGATCTGATCCACTCTGGGAGAAATACACTTAAGTGACCCTCTGCACTGCACTAATAGCCCTGACCATCTAAAATGGTAGATAATTAAAACGAAAACAGAAAACAGGTCTGACATGTGTTTTTCTGATACCTTGACTGTGGATGTGGCCAATTCGGAACTTTGGGTACTTCTACATAGCGCTCTGACAGTTGTGAGGGAATTAGCTACTTGTTTTTTGTGTCTTCTTCGTCATTCCTTCAGTATTCTTCTGACGCCACTCTTTGGTCTTTCAGACTGAAGCAGAGCACTAGGTTAACCAAACCTTATTCCTGTCTAGTTGACAACTTCCTAGGAAAAGAGGGGGTATAATTTACTGTTCTGGTTTAGAAGGAGGGAACTTTTTAAAAAGATTTTTATTGGTATCTTTAGTTTTCACATTGCCCAAATTTCTCCCTGTGTCTTTCCCTTCCCCCTCCCAGATAACTATACCTTGTAACAAAGAATTTTATTTTAAAATGACTGTTTTACATTTTATTTAATACATTTAATAAATGTTTTACATTTAAAAATGTAAAAAAGAAGTGAAGGGGGAATTAGCAAAACCAGTCAAAAACTCAAAAGATTGACACTATATACAGCATTGTACACTCACGGACAATTCTTCCCTCTCCCCAGCCCTACGTACCCACACCTACAAAGGAGTAGGGGGAAGTATCTATGTCAGGGCTGGGGAACCTGCGGCCTAGAGGCCACACGTGGCCTTCTAGGTCCTCAACTGCGGCCCTTTGACTGAATCCAAACTTCACGGAACAAATCCTTCCTAAAAGGATTTATTCTGTAAAACTTGGACTCCACCCAAAGGCTGCCCCCCAGGACCTAGAAGGCCACATGTGGCCTTGAGGCCGCAGGTTCTCCACCCTCATCTGTCCAGGTGTCATCTGTGGGACCAAGATTATTCTTTTACATTTGGCAACATTCAGTTAGATTGTTTCTTTACATCGATGTCGCTGAGGTCATTGTCACTTACTTCAGTTTGCATCCATCATGGAAGAATTTCAGTGCTCCTCCGTGTTCATCGTAGTAGTCATTTCTTACAGCACAGGACTGTCCCATGACTTTCGCGTATCATGATGTTGGCTGTTCCCCAGTCGACGGGCATCTACTTTGTTTCCAGTTCTTTGCTGTCACAAAAAGTGCCGCCTTAAATATTTTGGTGTGTGTGGGGATGTCCTCTTTGGGATGTAAGCCTAGGGAATGAAGAGTATGGTTGGTTTAGTGGCTTCATTTGCATAATTCCAAATTGCCTTTCAGAGTGGTTGGACTGATCAGAAGGTCCACCAACAATGCATTGTTATGCCTAACTTCTCACGAGCCCTCCAAATAGACTGTTCCTATCTTTTGTCATCTTTGCTAATTTAACATATGTAAAGTGCGTTGTGAGCCATGGAGTACTATATAAATTCTAGCTATCATCATTATTGAAAAGGAGGCATTTCTAAAAATTACACTGCTGATGCGCTATTAAATTCCTTCTAATGTTGAGCATTTGTAATCTGTCTGACATTGGTACAAATGGAAATGAAGAATCCCTAAAACTTACTGAAAGTTGCTAGGGAGAGGGAAAGGAAGGGAATAAGCATTTATTAAGTGCCTACTGTGTGCTAACATTTTACAAATGTCATCTCCTTTGTTTTTCCACAACAACACTGGGAGGTAGGTGCTATTATTATCTTCATTTACAGATGGGGAAATTGAGGCAGACAGAGGCTAATAAGTAACTTGCCCAGACAGCTAGTAAGTGTTTGAGGCTAGATTTGAACCCAGGTCTTCCTGACTCCAGGACCAGTGGTGTGCTCCATAGCTGCCTCTATCATCATCATCATCATCACCACTACCACTGTTGTGGTGATGATTTGTGATGTTTGCAAAGATAGGAGGTGAAAGGCTGTCTATGCTGGGGTGAGTAATGATGCCAAACCTAGTTAGGATGGTAACACTAGTTAGAGATGGAGACAAGAAGACTTAAGATACATCTGGGCTTAGTTATTACCTAAAATTCTAGAGTAATTCAGTCATTGGAAAGTGAGATTATTTTTAAAAATAATTTAATTAATTTCATTTGGGCGGCCAGTTGTTTGATGAAGTATTAGTTTGATACTTTGCCCACTAGGCTGCATCTCCATTTGTAATGAATGTTCTTAACTTTTTTTTTGTGTTGTGGATGCATGGGGCATCTAGTGAAGACTGTAGACCCCAAAGGCATAAAATAAAATACATAGGATTACAGAGAAGCCAAGTATATTGAAATATGATTATCAAAGCGTTAAAAAAAAAAAAGTTCACAGACCCAGGTTAAGAACCCCTTCTTCATAAGATGGTGGCAATTACAGATAAGCAGGAACTGGAGCTGGTGGGAAGGGAGGGAACATAGGTTGTGAGATCCACGTGCCCTTTATCCACAGTAGAGAACCAAAAGTATGGGTTTGCGGTGATTTTTTGATACTTTGCTTCATTGTTTGCAGTTTTTGATATTGGTTTTGGTTTTGCTCTGATTGGCTTTATTTGGGTGTTTGTTTCCTGTTTTGCTTTTACTATCTTTCTTTGGTTCTCATGTATCTGAGTGCATACAATATCAGTGGGAGTTAAAACAGTTTTTTGAAAAGAAAAAAAATCACCCGTGGTGGTATTGAATGGTGCCACCTTATAATAGAGCAAGTCGGGTGAAAGCCATTGTGGGGAGCTCCAGGGAGAAGGAGGACGGGAGGAAGATATTTTAAGCTTGAACATATGGTAATCGGAGCTGTCGGGTTTTTCCTCTTCACTTTTTCCCCCTTCTCCATTCTTAATTAGAGAATGAGTTGTCAGTCATATACTTAATTTTGAGGTAATGAGTTCAAAGTCAAGGATACAGAAGTGATGATCACTTACTAAAATGAATCCTTTTTCATCTACTCACCCGGCATGGAAGGAAAAGAACAGGAAAACCAGGAGCTCCAGAGGAGAAGACCACGCATTTAGGGGAGCTTCTCCTTGGTATCGGGAACCTGACTGCTTGGTAGTTAACGTATTCACAGCAGGAGTGCTGGATTGGGAGTCGGAAGACATTGGTTCAAATTCTGGCTCTGCCACTTAAGACCTAAAAGAACTTAATACAAGTCACTTAACTTTTCTGGGACTCAGTTTCCCTTTCTGCAAAACGAGGAGGGGAGGCTGCACTGAGGTCCCTTCCAGCTCTAAATCTCCCTTTCAGTCTAAGGTTTTTAACCAGGGGGCTATGGAGAAGGGGCATGAACCCTTGGATAGGGAAAAAAAAATCACACTTATTTTCACTAGCCTCTAACATAAATTTAGCATTTCCTTAATTATGAATTGAAAAAGAAAATAAGCACCATGATTTTGAGAAGAGGTTCATTGTTTCTACCAACTGTCAAGGGGTCTGTGACACACAACAAAAGCTGTAAGAACTCTGTATCTTATGAGGAGGCACTAACTGGGATGCTGGGTGTACATGCCGGTGCTAATTACCTGCATCTCCCTTTTCCTTTTGCAGAGAGTGAAGAAGGATGTTGACAGGGGCACTCTGCATTCGGACATGTTCCTGCTCAAGTGTGAGGAAGGCAAGGAAGAAGGTGCAGTAGCTGGCGGGCCCCTGGTGCCTGCTCGGACCAGCCCTGGCTTGGAGGCAGTTGTTAAAAGCCTGGCCATCTTTCTGCCCATGGCCCGTGAAAACCATTAGAGAAATAAGATAATAATGAGGGATTGTCAGAGGTTGCACAAGAGTGGGCTGAGTAGGAAGCCCAAGACAAGGCAGCACGTCGGGGATCAGAGTTCACCATTTCATCAGTGCACATGGCCTAAATGCCAGAAAACTCTGCTCTCCTTGGCACGTGCAGACGCCTTTATTTTGTGGCCCGTCCTATGTGACTCCATCGCCTCTGGGAGGAGGAGGAGGAGGAGGAGGAGGAGGACAGTGTGCCGCTTTGGGGGTGGTCATCACGTCAATCAGAATCCTTACCACTTTCAGAATTGTTTGTTTTAAGTGTCGTAACTGTAAATTGTTTTCCTGATTCTGTTTGTTTCATCTTTGACCAATTTGTACAGAATTGTGCATTTTTTATAGCATTGATGCTCAAGTATAGAACCCTTTTCTGTTTCTTTCTTCCTGGCTTTGAGGCTAGCCCTCTGTCCCCACTGCATCCCTGTGTAATCGTGGGCATCAGGGGGCCTCCTTTTCAAATCAGGGAGGAAATGGAGCCCCAGAGACCTTCCTGGGATGGTTAAAAGCTGAGCCAGGATTTAGACCCACACTCTGAGCATCTGGATCTTTTTTCCAGTTCCAGCACCATCACTGACTGACTAGCTGTGTGATCTTGGGTCAGTCATTGAACCTCTCTGGGCCTCCAGTTTTTTCATCTGTAAAATGAGAGGGTTGGCTCATTAGATGATCTCACGGGTCTCAGCAGTGTCAGCATCCCCTGGAAACAACCCTTAATATGGATCTGTTGTAATGCCAACAACAACAACAACAACAAAATGAACCATCATTTACTTTTTTCTTCTTTCTCCAAGATCAGGTTCAAGCACTTCCATGACGTTTCACCCATTTGAGTGATAGGGAAAGCTGGGATGAATAGATGAATCTTCCTGTCCTCCCTTGGTTCTAAATGTGCCGTGGAGGAACTTCACCCCATGACGAGGAAAGCTGTCCAAGCCCCCTGAGGACACGGCCTGATGGAGTGGCCCCAGACGTGGCAGTGGGCACTTTCTCACGCATGGCCGCCTCCTCTCCCAGGATTTCCCCTGTATATAGCCAGGCACCCACCAGGCCTCCTGCCTTCAGGACAGGATCCTGTCTCTGAGCTATTAAAGGCAGTGAAGTGTGTATATAGAGTGGTGTACTTGAAGGCAGGAAAGACTTGGGTTCAGACCGCACCTCTGACCTTTCCTAGTCGTGGGGTCATGGCCAAGTCACATGGGCTCACCAAGAGTGAGTTTCTTCTCCTGCCAGGTGGGTCTGTGGCTCCTGCACCACAGGGTTATCAGAGTGTAGGTGAAGTTCTTGACCACAGGGGTGTGTCTGTGCCTGTCTGTCTGTTGCATTGTGATTAACTTAAAAGATGTATTTTGGAGGATAGAACGTTAACACGTATGGACTTGTTGTCTGGACTTTTAATTCGAATTAGTCCGACAAGCATTTATTGACACTGCCGGGGGTGGAGATAGAAGGGCCACAAGACAGCAGCGTCTTTCCTCAGGGCAGCTTGCTTTCTGTAGAAGGGACGGGACGTGTCCACATGTGGAGGAGTGCCCACACCTGGGCCTCAGGGCGCGCGTCCTGCTGGCTGCGGCCCCTGAGTTGAGTTCTGTGGGGGGGGGGTGGAGGTAGAAGAGGGGGGAGGGTGTCCATGCCAGCAGAGCTTGTTCAGATTCACAGAGTCGGGGGCAGTGGATGGTGGGGTTCAGGGAATAGCCGATGTTCCAGTTAGACTAGAAAAGAGGCTTGGTAAAGGGTTGCAATTGGGGAAAATCTCGGAAAGGTTGGCAGGCGCCCACTTCCTTTGCACTGATTTGTGTTGGGCCTGCTTGTCCCCTTCTGACATTGGTAGGTCCGTGGGGGTCAACTCAGGCTCCTTTTTGTGCCCCCTTCACATATCCATGTGTGCACACACGCACACACACCAAACTTGCCGAATTGAATGCATTTCAGAGAGACACACGTAGTAATGATCATCCCGGTGCTGCTGCTGGAAAAACTCTGTGGTGCTTTTCTCCTTCCTTTTAAAAGGCGTGAATAATTTTTACGATTGCCCAGTCCACAGTGGCATTTCAGAGAAGTAAACATTAGAGAGAATGTCATCAGGGCCTTGAAGATAATGGGCCCATAGTCAGGAAGGATTTGCTCACTAGATAATCCCAGCAGAGGTAATTGCTTTCTGCTTGGTGGCTTCATAAATAGTCTATACATTTAGTATTTGGGTGAGCAAGAATTTTTTTCTTCCATCTTTCTTGAAGTATTTGGTACTATGCAACTTTTAGACTTCTCAGAACAAATGAAGCCTTGAGGATGGTGTCTGATAAGATACGATAGCCCCTAATAGTAATAATAGCGCTAGCATTTATAGAGCGCTTTAAGATTTTCAAAATATTTTTACAAGTGTTAACTCATTAGATCCTGACAGCAACTCTGGGAGGTAGGTGCTGTGGTCAGTCTCATATCACAGATGAGGAAACTGAGACAAAGTGGTTAGGTGACTTGCCCAGGGTCACACAGCTAGTAAGTGTCTAAGGTTGGGTTTGAACCTGGGTCTTGCTAACTCCAGGTCCGGTGCTTGAACATACACTGTGCCACCTCACTCCGTTGGGCTGAGGGTGATACTGGAGGGCTGTTTCCTTGTAGAGTCAGGTGCTTTGTAAACTGCACGGTGCTGTACTATTGTCAGTGATTCTTACTAGGATTTACTCCAGGACCAGTTTGGTATGTGAATCAGCGGAAAGCTGTACATTTATTTGTGTATGCTTATTTTCATTTTTTGATTTTTCATACATTATTTGAGGACATTCCTATGTTGCTTTGTCAGAATATGAGGTCCTTATTTTCTGCAGTATGAAAGACAAAATGTCTGCTATAATTTTTTTTCAAAGACAGCATTTTGAATTTTTTCTCATTGATTATTACATGGAATGATTATCCTTCCTTGGTAATTTTCTCTTTTCTGTTCCTTCCTGTGGAGAGAGGGGAGGTGATTGTGACATAGTGTTCTGAGGTGCTAGATAATCAGATTGGATATGTGAGTGTGCCGGACTTTTAAAAATCTGGGTAAGGAAATTCAACCTCTTTACATCAAATGTTTGTATTTTGCTTGGACCGCTGGGCCATGTCACACACAAGGTGGCTGGATAAAGTTTCCCAAAATGGCAGTACTCCAGAAATGTTCATATAAGTGCAGTAGAATCAGTGACATTTGCCTTTTTCACTGGATGAATGGAAGAAATGAGAATACAAAACATCCTTTTTTTCTTTCATCAGCTCCATTGTTCAAACTTCCAATTAAATGGGATGCCCTATTAAATTGAAGTATTTTCCTGTGTAAGAGAGATATGATTTGTTCATTTGGCCCTAGAATATGGCACTAGGAGAAGAGTGTGGAAGTGGTAGAGGCTGATTTTGGCTCTAGGTGAGGAAAAGAAGCCAAATCATTTGACCATCTGAAATTGGAATGGGCTTCCCAGGGAGAGGTCTTCAAGGCCCTGGGACCACTTGTTTGAAATGCCATGAAGGGAGTTTGGTGGTCCCTTCCAAGTCTGTGATTTTGTGATGAAAGCATACATATATCAACTTAAAGTTAAAGATAGCTTACTGGTTATCCTTGGAATATATATTTTTTAAAAAGTTTCCACGTGCTGAATGCCATGGTCTTCGAAGGACCCAGAATAAAATTTGCCTGGGCCAAGAGGGACCACAGGGCACACTCGAGAGCAGCCCAGCAGGCAGTTGTGATGTGCCATCTGTGGGCATCCGGAGAAGAGGGCTGTTTGGGACTTCAGGTTAAGATGCACAGCTCCTGGCACAGAGAGGGGCTTAATAGACACATGTTGATTGATTGACAGTTATCATGCTAACAAGTCTGTGGATCAAATCTCAGTTTCCTGCTATTAGAGCTTCAGTTGCAAAAGGGTCTTTGACTCTGTGAACATCATCTCTCCTGGCGTTCCTTTAAATAGTGAGTCCTTGGGTGCCCTTAAATCCCTGCTTTTGAAAAAGCTCATTAGTGTAGAACTTGACGGAAGCTGCACTGATGTATGAAGTGGGCTGCGTTTGGATGCCAGGCCTGTTATTTCTGTGGTACTTGTCAACGGGCAGATCAGTTATCTAAGCTCGTTGGGTCTCAGCTCTCTCATGTCTGATACGGGCCATGATAATCCTTGTGTTCCCGCCCAGTTCCCTCCTGGGCTCTTTGGGAGGAAAGCACTTTGTAGAACTTACTTTGCTCTGGATGGCTGAGTGAGTGGCTGTGGCCCAAAGAGTTATTAAACTGCCTATATCCTTTGAGCCAGAAATACCACGACTCGGTCAGTTTTTGAAGATGATTTTAGGAAAAAACAAAAAGCATCTATGTTCTAAAATGTTTGTAGCAGCTCCCTTTGGGGTGGCAAAGAACTGGAAATTGCAGGGATGCCCATCAGTTGGGGAATGGCTGAACAAGTTGTGGTATGTGATTGTGATGAAATACTACTGGGCTATAAGAAATGATGAGCTCGGTGATCTTAGAAAAACGTGGAAAGACTTGCACGAAATAATGAAGAGCAAAAGGAGCAGAACCAAGAGAACATTGTGTACAGTAAGAGCAATATCGTTTTAAGAAAGACTGAGCAACGAAGTTATTTTGACTATTATAAATACCCCAATTAACTACAAAAGACATATGAAGGAAGGTGCTATGTGCATCCAGAGAAAGAACTTATGAATAGAAGTATGTTAAAATAATTTTACACATACATACCTGTTTGTGTCTAATGGTAGCCATCTCTAGGGCAGGGAGGGAGGGAAGAAAAAAAGGGAAAAAAAGAAATTTACATGATAACTGATATATTTAAAAGGAATAGCAAGTTGTACATGGTCGATTTGCAGTCATCTTTCTTATACTATGTTATGGAAATGTTAGTTTTAGTCCATTAATTAAAATAAATTTTTAAAAAATAAACATCACCAAATGTGGATCTCCTATCATGTACCACATGTGGCTAGACAGGCCTTCTCCCCACCACCCCCCTCCCCGGGTGAATCAAGTCTGGCTTTTCATGATTACTGCTGAGACCGTTGTCCACTCATTCAGCTGCAGGGCCTCCCTGTCGCCTCCACATCAAATACACAGTGCTCCACTTGGCATTCACAGCCCTTCGTCGCCTTGTCCCCTCCCACCTTATTCCCCAGCACATGCAGTGATGCTGGCCTCTGGCCGTGCCTGGTGGCTGCACCGCTCTCCCTCCTCTGCTCTGACTCTTGACCTCCTGGCCTCTTTCACGTCCCAGCTAAAATCCCATCTTCTGCAGGACGCCACCCTAACCCTTCTTAATTCTAGGACTGGCGCCTGTGAAGTAGTCCCATTTGTCCCTCATTTGTATGTATTTAGAGGGCAGGGATGCTCTTTTGTCAATTTTTGTCTCCCGGTACACACAGCCTTTAGCCCAGTGCCTGGCACTTAGTAGGTGCTTAATACGTGTCTGTTGACTGTGTGACTGCATCTTGAAGTGTTCAGGTTGAGGGGGCGGTATAAATCCTGTTTGCTTACATAATTGAAGCTTTGTGGGGAAGCTAGGAAAAAGAAACACATGGATTTACAGGACGCTTTAACTGGCAAGTGTAAATAACCATGAATAACATTTTTAAAAACCACTGAGACACTGAAATATTTAAAGCAATTGAATTGGGCCGGTGATCTGCCCTACCGGATATCCCTCATCCAGGAGGTCTGGACTTTTAAGTTGACTCTAAGATCCGTGGTTTATTGTGGCCTAATGGTTAGAGAGCAGGGTCCAGCGCTTTCCTCAGGCTCTCACTATCTCTGTGATGTTGGGCAAGTCACTTACCTCATTTTCTGCATCTGTAAAATAGGGATTAATTATAACGCTTGTCCCGCAGAGTTATTGTGAGGATTAAATGACATAACGTATGTGAAGCACTTTGTACGTCTTAAAGATATACACACATTTAACATATTTGTGTACATACATGTATGCATGCACACGTGACATGTGTGTTAACTAGCACGGTTATTTCCCTGATTCCATGCCTCCTGTCTATAGACCTCTGGGGCCATTAATAGTATCACCTTTCTTTTTATTTAGCTGTAATTTGTGTTGTCTTCTCAGCATGTATCTTGTGTATACCTGTTCAGGTTCCCATTTTCTCCCCCATTAGAGTGTAAGCTCTTTGAGGGCAGGGACTGCTTTTGCTTTTCTTTGTATCCCCAGTGTTTAGTACATAGTAAGCATTTAATAAATTCTTGTTGACTCATTGTCTTACACTAAAATATTAATGAAAAAATAAATTGGGGCAGTGATCGTTGTCTTCTGGTCCCATTGATAGGCCTGAGGGGTCCTTTTGGTTCCTTGAGAGGTTTGTGAATATTTTGATATTTTATTGTAATGTATTGAAGTTTCAGAATTTATAAATCAGTACAAGAATGTGCTGACCTTGGCCTACTTTCTTAGCCAGCCTCCCCGGGGAAGGTTACTGCAGGGAGCAAAAGGATTGAGCTCTCTCATGCTTGAGCTTCTCCTCATGTGAATTCTGCTGTGCTTGGGGCGAGCGGGCTGAGTGACTGTGACTGGATAGAAAAAGGCCCATTTTTCTCTCTTCCCATAATGCCTGTGCTTCTCCGCTCTCCCCTTAACAGGCAAGTGGACGTGGACCCGGGTCAGCCCCTCCGGAGTAAAGCCTACTCCCAGGTCTGGTTTCTCTGTGGCCATGGCTCCCAATGGGCGGACGCTGCTCTTCGGGGGCGTTTGTGACGAAGAAGAGGAGGAAAGCATCAAGGGGGACTTCTTCAATGACCTGTACTTCTATGACATTGCCAAGAACCGCTGGTTTGCAGGACAGCTGAAGGTACCTCTGTGAACCCTTCCCCCCACGCCAAGATATATTGTTACTACAGTGTCCTTTGTCAGAAAACTGCTTTAAAGAGTCACAAAGATACGTTCTCGTATGTGTTTCCTCCTCTCATGTCTTGGCAAGGGATTCCTTCTCGTCTTTGCCTCTTGACCTGTTTGGGGGGGCAGTAGGGTTTACTGGCTCACACTTTACCTCATTTGATCTTACAACAACCCCGTGAGGGAGATGCTTTTATTATCTCCATTTTACAGATGAAGAAACTGAGGCAGGCAGTTTAACCCTTGCCCCGGGTTATACAGCTGGAAACTATCTGAGACAAGATTTGAACTCTTGGTCCTCCTGCTTACCAGTCCAGCCCTGTATCCACTGTGCCACCTAGCTGCCTCATGGAATGAGGCTGCCCTGGATTGTTAGACGTTGTTAATAGAGGAAGCGTGGTTTCCCCTGAGTGAGGCCCGGCCCTCATGCTTCAGACACCCATCAGGCCTGCCCTGAGGAAAATGGAACTTCTCCCAGTCCTGGGCTCATTTGTTTAGACGGGTTTTTGTTCTCAGAGGATTTGTTCGTAGAAACACGTGTTTTTTTTAAAGAGAAGCGTTTATTGATGTTTTCTGTTCCTTACACCATCATAGTTGTTCCCAGTAGCTCTCCCTCTCCCCCTCCCCAAGAGCTGCACATAGAACAAATAGTATTTTTGTAGAGAGGAAATGAAAGTCTGCACAGCTGATCGATGCATTGATGAAGCTGAAACCTTGTGCAGTGCCTACTCCCAGTGGGCCTCCCCACTCCACAGAAAGCATCCTCTCCTGTCTTCCTGGAGTCCTTCTTGACCTTAATAATTTTGTTACATTTACTTTAGATTTTTCAGTGTACATTTCTTTCCATCGATGTCATAGTCACCGTGTGTTGTATTCTTGGCTCTGCTGACTCCCTGCTGCATCAGTTCATGTCAGTCTCTCTAGGCTTCTCTGTATTCCTTACACGCATCATTTCTTGTAATGCAAGAATATTCCACTTCATTCCTGTACTGAGATTTGTTTAGCCAATTCCCAGTTGATGGACATCTACTTTATTTCCAATTCTTTGCTATCATGAAAAGTGTTGCTATAAATATTTTGGAGTTGATAGGAACTTTCTTCCTCTCGGTGGTTTTCTTGGGGGATAAGCCCAGTGATGGAGTCTCTGGTTGAAAGGACACAGACATTTTATATATCCACATTGCTTTCCAAAATGGTTGTACATTTCACAGCTCCACCAACAATGTATGAGTGTGCAGCTTCTACAGCCCCTCCAGCATTAGCTGTTGCCACTTCTTGTCATCTGTGTAGGGTGCTGCGAGGTGAAACCTTAAGGTTGTTTTGATTTGCATTTCTCTGGTCATTAGTGCTTTGGAGCATCCTTTCATGTGGTTATGAATACTTTGCAGTACATGTACTCTTTTAAAATCATTGTTAACAGCCAGAATTGACACCTGGCTTGTTGTTAACTTAGGGCAGGAATGAGAAGATGGTCAGCTTTGGCCTCTGGTTTTAGGACAGAGCTCTAGGCACGGTTGGCATTTTAAGAGCAATAAGAGGTTTTTTGCCCACAAACATTTCCCTCGTTGAGCTGCCTTAGGGCCTGACGTACTCAACTAGAGTCATTCCTTTGGTTTAAGGTATGGAGTATCCTGGAAACTTTCTCTGAAATGCAGGTATGTGGCTGGGGAGGGAGAACACGTTACTGACTGATCACTGCCCATGAACTCTTTGGATTAGTGTATCACATTCACAGCTTCTGTGAACCAAGCCCTGAGAGAGAACAGGAGACAAGACAAGTTAGATTTAGGGGCAGGGGGAAAGAGCAGTAAGGGCCCGACCCTGGAGGAGAGGGGGAGACAGTGGCCCAGAGGGGCAGGGCCCAGACGAGTAGTGGGGGGCTGAGCCTGGAGGGGGGGCCCAGACGAGTAGTGGGGGGCTGAGCCTGGAGGGGAGGGCCCAGATGAGTAGTGGGGGGCTGAGCCTGGAGGGGGGGGCCCAGATGAGTAGTGGGGGGCTGAGCCTGGAGGGGGGGCCCAGACGAGTAGTGGGGGGCTGAGCCTGGAGGGGGGGCCCAGATGAGTAGTGGGGGGCTGAGCCTGGAGGGGGGGCCCAGATGAGTAGTGGGGGGCCAAGACTGGAGTGGAGGCAGTGGCCCAGAGGGGCAGGGGGCTGAGGCGAGGAGAAGAGAAAATCTGCTTGGACCAGACCTTTCTTGGTGCTTGAGATGGAGGGAAATTTGAAAACCTAGACAATGCTGTATTCTTTCCATTGAAAGCAGTCACCCGGGAAATGCTTTATAGCATTTTTAGATTTAGAACTCTTTGGTTGTGCTTCCTGACTTTTCTCCTCTTTTAATTAAAGAGTTTATTAGAAAGCTGTCACCATATGGGGAATTCAGAGCTTTTTATGAATGGTCCCCTCTGCCCCACTCAGCTGTTGTAGTGACCTCAGTTTCCCTTTTCTCCCTTCTCCAGGTGTTCTCTCTTTCTCATCTTTTTGTGTATTTCTGCACTTTAAGGGCTGTACCCCCAGGTGAGCCATAGTCAGTAGAATGGGGTCTTCAGCTGGACTGTTTTAAATGAGGCTTTTTCCACTTCAGCTAATATGAAGATTTGTAGAAGATATTTATTGTGGCCTGGTCAGAGGTCCCGATGAGAGACTGGCGTCCAGTCTCTGAAGAAGCCTAGTTTTCTCCAGACAGTCCTAGGAATACTTCACATTGAGAGAGTCCTTTTCAAAGTCCTCTCCTAGGGGGCAGCTAAGTGGTACAGTAGATAGAGCACCGGCCCTGGAATCAGGAGGACCTGAGTTCAAATCTGGCCTCAGACACTTGACACTAGCTGTGTGACCCTGGGTAAGTCACTTAACCCCACTGCTTAGCCAAAAAAAGAAAAGAAAAGACAAAGTCCTCTCCTATCCTTTCTTAGGAGATTCTTAAACCCCTACAGTACAAGGAAGAGGCAGTTCCTTTCCCATTGAGGGGTAAGGAAACAGGCTCAGAGGCTTTAACGACTTGTCCAAAGTCACACTAATTACAGGTGGAGGAAATGAAATAACCCAGATTCAATCCACATTTGACACAAAGTTAGAGAAAGCAGCAAATTTATCATGTAAAGTTACCAGGGCAACACTAGTCATCATGTGGGAGGAGAAGAGAGGATTGAATACATGGGATAATTTTTAGATGCTTTCTTTCTTTAGGAAAACAACCTAAAAATAGTTTTTCATGTGGAAAACCCTTGGAAGTGAGGGCTTTGACTCCTTTGGCAGACCATTCATCGCCAGTCCATGGGCTCTCTGATGGGCATTGCTCAATCAGCCTTGTGGCGGTAGGGATGAGACGCACAAGTGGGAGGGATTCAGCGTGGGCTCTCCCCTGTCGTCTGAGTTGGCCCCCAGGAGCAAATTTGATTTTTACTCAAGACAGGCTTTCTTGGAGAGCCAGTGACTTTGCTTCTGAATTGGTGGTATTCCTTTTCCAGCCTCGGAAGGTATGGAAGGTTTCCCAGTGAGGGCCTGAAGTTCCCATTCACTGCTCGAGTTTCAATTTTGTGGTGAAGCAGGCTCGTTTCTCCTGCCTCCAGTTCCCCAACATGGAAGCAGGCAGCTGAAGAGAGAGGGTCAGTTCTTCTTTGTCCAGTGCCATCTGCCCGCTGTCGCTCACCAGCATGCAGGCGTTGGGGCTCTCCTGCCACAGATTTCATGGAGGTTTTCAGCCAGGCTGTGCAAGTGTGTCCTGAGTGGAGGAGCCTGGAGGTGTGACGTGACTCTGACCTTTGTATCTCTCATTTAGGTTGTGCGCTTCACATACAATTATTAAAGCTTGTTGCGTCCCAGTCGTGTGCTTTCCTCTCATTAACAGGGCCCTAAGACAGAGAAGAGGAAATGCAGGCGAGGCAAGAAGCCACAGCCCGACAGTGTCGAGAGTCAGGAGAGGGTAGAGACCCACCCCCAGCAGCTGCAGGAGGAGATCAAAGAGGTCGTGGCCGAGGATGGAACGGTCGTGACCATTAAGCAAGTGATCCCTGTCGCTGGGACATCAGCAGTGTCTCAGTCTGAAGAGGAGGATGCTTCTGATGAGGCCGGCAGCCCTTTGGTGGAGCCCTGTGCTCGCTCGAATGCCATGCTGGCGTTGAAGCAAGGGGTGCTCTACGTCTATGGGGGCATGTTTGAAGCTGGGGACCGCCAGTTCACGCTGAATGACTTCTACTGCATTGATCTGCACAAGATGGAGGAATGGAAGGTCTTGGTAGACATGGATCCCAGTAAGCTTGGGTTGGGGTTGACAGGAGACAGAGAAACAGAGTTCCCAAAGGCCTTGGAGGTGCTCTTAGCCAAATCCTTCTCACTTTCTTCTTACTCATTCCCCAACATAACTTAGCTTGGCTGGTTTCATCATTATTCAGTTTTCCTTCATCCATCAACAGTCTGAGCTTGAGGGACAGACAGGCCGATAGAACAAAACATATATTTTAAAAGTGCAGTTCCCACATCATGGTGTCTTCAGACAGCTGTGGTTAGTTATATCACAGGACTGTTGTGAGCCACGGATCAGACTTGTTGACTTGGCTACATATCTTTGAGTGCTGGCCTTTTGGGGTGCTGCTGACAGGTGAGTCATTGCCTCATTCCTCAGGTTGTCAGACTTGCTGTGTTCATGCACAAGAACCAGACTTGGCATAGATTAGTCTCCTCTTGCAATCTTTTTGTACCTCTGACTTTGAATTCTTTAGCCTTATTTATTGTCAGTTCTGAAATGTTTCCTCTGATCCTTCATTCATCAGTGTTCATTTCCATTTGACCTTTTTCTAAAGGAAAGAAAATTGTTCAGGACTGAGATAGCTCACTATTTCTATTTGAGACTCAGGATTAAAGAATGAAGAAAAATCAATAGGGTTGGTGCTAGGGAGGGCATCTCCTGCGTTATAGAATGAGAAAAGTTGACAGGCAGCAGGATAGGAAATACCTTCCTTGCCCTACAGGAGCAGCAAGCAATGGTGAGATCTTGGGAAACTGATGGATTTTGAGAAAATAATGATATTGTCTATAAAATGGAATGTGATGCTAAGAGGGGACCCTTAAAGCACAGCATTTTTTTAATGAAAATTTTAAAAAGTCATTGCACTTGAACATAGCAAATGATGAGAAGGCAGACTTGGGGAAGCAGTGAGTCCTCAAAGCTTGGAGTAGGCAAATCCAGTTAGAGAGGGCGAGATGAGAGTGCGTGAGTGGGAGGCCCTGGAGGGGGAAGGAAAATTGTCTCTCTGGGAGGTTGAAAGGGAAAGAATGGGAAGAGAGAGCCCAGCAGCTACTGTGGTCAGCTGTGTTGTAAATAAGGAGCTCAGCTCACATGGCCCCCCCGGGCCCACCTGCTCTCCCTCACTGAGAGTTGATGAGAGGAAAGTACTTGGAGTGGAGGATCCCAGTTTGAGCATTGCCCCAAGCTCTAGTGACTCTTCCCCTACACAGGTGTGTTTTGGCTTGGGTTAGGCTGAGCAGAAGTTCTCCACCTTGTCGTGGCAGGCACATCTCAGTCAGCAGCAGAGCCCCCAACAGACAGTGGGCCAGGATATCCCTTCCTCCTCCTTGCATGGACGGATGGGAAGACTGGGCAGGTGGCTAAAGCACTCATTGCTCACGAATTTGGGAGGTGTATCCAGCCGTGGAGTAGACATTGTGCTAGTGTGCATTTAAAAAAAAATCTTAAGGGGGCAGCTGGGTGGCGCAGTGGATAGAACACCGGTCCTGAAGTCAGAAGGACCTGAGTTCAAATGTGGCCTCAGACCAAACACTTGATACTTACTAGCTGTGTGACTCTGGGTAAGTCACTTAACCCCAATTGCCTAAAAAAAAAAAAAATCTTAAGCTGCTTTAATTTTGACCAGCCAAGTCAGCTTTTTCAGACTTCATTTCCCTGGAGTTAGTGCTATTAAAAGATTCTTAAAGTCTATATAAATTAATGAGAGATCATTAAAGGGGGGAAAAAACCTTAAAATTAAATTAAACCAAGTTCCCATCCCCATCGAATGTTAGCATCATTATTCCCCATAGGGAGAATCTGGGGAAGGGTAGAAAGATTGGCTCTGGGTGATTCACACTTTCTGTTCTTGGGTGCCAGGCGGCTTTTTTGCCACCTCTTGAGGGATCATCACACTGTCTTCTCTACCAGTCTAGAGCCCTGCCCATGGACTGTGTCCTCAGAATTTGTTATTCAGAAAATGTTGCCTTTTTTCCCTTCTTCTGTGGAGCCGAGTGCTTTCTTGTCTCCCTTCTCCCTCATTGTTCCCTCACCAGTAGCTGAAAGCAGAGTTCTCTGTGGCGCGTCAGAGGAAGCAGGCAGGCTTGGGGTTCTGGCGGAGAAGCGCCACTTGTCAGATTCAGCATCTTCTTCTCCCATCCAAGCTGTGAATTTGCTCTTTGAAACCTGCTTGTTTCTGACCTTTGCATGTTGTCTTGGGCATTTTTCATCGTTCAGCTGTCTTCCCACGCTTCCCTGGCCTGTTCTCTTTTTGGTAGCTCCTCTCCTTTCATCAGACCCTGAATGTCTCCTTTCAGCGTTGGGGGGAGGGGAGGGTTATATGTCAAATCATTTGGTTCCTTAATGATGGATTGTTGAGACAGTATGTATTGCAGTTCTCTCCTGACATACCTGGGCCTTAGTTTTACTGATTGATTGATTTTACTGTTGAAGAAACTCAAGAATGGTTGGAAGAAAGTGACTCAGAAGATGAAGATGAAGTAGGAGGAGCAGAAGGGGGAGAGGAGGAAGAGGAAGATGAGGAAACAGAGGAAGAAAGTGAAGAGGATGAAGGTAATGGGCTCATGCTCGTTCATCTTTTAAGCCTCTGGTGTTGAGGGGGCAGGGTTTGATGGGGCCTCCTAGAGATGGGCCAAGATGAAGGTTTGTTGGCAGGGTGAGAGTCATTCTTGGAAACACTGCAGAGCAAGGTGTGGAGGCTTATTAATCGAACCAGCAGATCAGGGCTTTGTGTGGCCAGCACTTGTAGACCAGGGGTCTTATAGAACCAGGGCCTTAAAGCTGCAATTCCCCACTCCTGTTCTAGACTTTCCTAAGCAGAAAGTTCAAAGCAAGAGAAATTTGTGTACAACCTGGAACAGGTGTATCACTGACTTGCCCCCCCCTCAAAAAAAAGATGGGGATGGAAGACAGTCTTTTGGTTTTAATCGTTACCTTATTTTTAACCAGAAGTGTAGCTTTTGCGCAATAAATATTTTCCTCGTAGATGGGGGTTTAAAAACTTAGAATCATTTAAAGTGCACTAGGGGAGAACTTGCTATTTACAAACTCCTCTTATGTCTTCTTTTGTTAAGTGGTAGCTCGGAGCGTAGCAGGGACTTTTGAAGTTGGTCTAGCTCGACCCTTACAGAAACAAGACTTACTCAACGAGTAGTCACTCTGCTTCTGCTTGAGATCCCCAGAGGGAAGAAGCCTCTTTGGGTGGCTCTGCCGTCCTTTGTTGCTGTTCAGTCATCTTAGTTGTGTCCAACTCTTTGTGGCCCCATTTAGCGAAGATCCTGGAGTGGTCTGCCATTTCCTTCTGCAACTCATTTGACAGTGAGGAAACTGAGGCAAACACTTAACTGAGGATTAAGTGACTTGCTCAGGGTCACACAACTAACAAGTGTCTGAAGTCGGATTTGAACTCAGTGTACAGGGCCTGCAGTGAGGAAGATACCTGTTAGCTGCCCCTAAGTTTTTCCTTAGATGAATTCTAAATTTGCCTCTGCAATTTTCCCCCTCTGTGCATAGGTCAGCCCCCTCGTGCCAAATAGAACACTTTTGACCCCTCTTCGTGCCACCGTCCTTCAGTTAGCTGGAGGCAGGGGTCATGTTCCCCCCGGACTTCCATAGTTTAAAAGTGCCCACTGACCTCCACTGATGTCCACCATTGTGATGGGTGCCTTCCTGTGGACAGTCTGCAGATGACTGAAATCATTCCTGACGTAGGGTTTTTGCAGGGATGGTGTGGCCAGAGCAGAGGAGCACAGCAGAGACCATCCCCTCTGTGCTCCTGAACACCCCCTCTCCCTGCAGCCCGGTGCGCTCCTCGACTTGTTTTTGCCACAGTGCCTTCTCCATGCTCTTCATAAGCTCAGCCCTCTTTCTTCTTCCTCCCTCTCTTTTGTTGTCAGAAGGCAGTCAGCACCCAGCGGTCAAGCCTAATGAAAAATACAGCGACTATTTGCCTCGGACTGAAGAGTATTGGGTGAAGGTCGCTCGGAACAACATGGGGCCTGATGCAAAGGACAAGAAGGTGATCAGAGTAGCCCATGCCATGGCCAAGACTTTTTATGGTGATTCGGTTTAAGGACAAATCTGGTGTTTGCTTCTCAGAATGGGCAAAGTCGTTGAAATCATTAACGTTATTGAAAAGGTTGCTTCTGAATAAATTGAGCCCGCTGCTAAGAGGCTTACAAGGTCTTTAAAACCCTGGGAAGAGCAGCGCCTCTGGGTCACTCGGCTGCTCTTGTCCTCTCCTCCTGGGGCATTGGGATCAGGGCAGCGCATGGAGCGGACCTCCCATTGGCCAGGAGTGTATGCAGAAACAGTCTGGCTGGGCATGAGGGCCAGCCCTCGTACGTGAAGGAGGGGGGAATGAAGAGGTCCTCATGAGCTATCAGGAGGCTGGGAGGCCTTTGGGAGCGCTCTTCCTCCAGAAACTGTGCTGGGAAACCCCTTCACTCTTTGGTTCGCTAGAAGCCTGGAGGTTTCAGCACATGTAACCTCTGAACCCTCAGGGAGCAGCCCCAGGACGCTAGTGATTGTTCCAAAATAAAGTGTTGTGTTAGGTTCACGTGACTGTGTTTCAGTGCCCCATTCGTGACTATGCTTTGTGTCATGCTTTGGCTGTTACCGCAGTTCCAGTCTTCATTTCAGCTGCTTCTTGTTCCTGGTTGCTCTTTTAGGGGTCCTTTCCTGTTGGTTGTCCCTTTTCCTGAATGATAATGAGAGTGTATAATCCCCCAAAAGGACAAGACAGACGAAGTGGCATTGGTCGTTACTTGTATCCATTTCTTGGCACAGGGCCTGGTAAACAGTGGGTGCTTCCTAAATACTAGCTGACTGATTCTCAGAAGAAGAGAACATTCCTTCACAACCTGTTGTAAGAGCTTGTGTAATCTTTTGGTACTGGGTGGTGCCATTAGGTCAGTGACAGCAGTGCCATTTGGATTTACATAATTAACGTGAAAGCATTAGAAATGAAATCATAGAACTTTTTTTTTTGAGCATCCCATGTAAGAATTCGCAGTCTTTAATAGTAAGTCAAGTTTGTTAGCCAGCAATCATCCTGCTTGTTGCAGAAAACCATTTAAAAAAATACTAGGGCTAAGGCAGAGGTGAAAGAAAATGTGAATTCTTTTGTAACTGCAGTCATGCTTGGGATTGTGCAGAGTTTCTGGGCAGTGTTTCATAGGACAAAGCTGGAAGAGGATTTAATGTAGAGGCCATCCCACATCCTGAAATAATGTTGGGTAGGCCCAAGGATTGCCCACACTGTCCAGCTATAGCTTCAGACCACGTAGACTGAGTACAGGTGGGCTACAGGGGTACTCACCTCGGCTGACCTGTTGTGTCCAGTGCCCTTGGACGAGGCGGCCAATGCCATGTGCTTGGATCAGGACTGCATGTTGCCTGCTTTCTTTGGGACCTTGGACAATTCACTTCATTTCTTTTAGCCTCAGTCTACTCATCTGTAAAATGGGTAGGTGGGCTAGATCCCTAGGGTCCTTTCCAGGTCTGAAATCCTATAATGAGGTCTGTTTTCCAGGTATGAACACTTAGTAATAGTGACGTGATGCTTTAAAGTTTGCAAAGTGCTGCACACACATGTGTGTGTGCATACACACACACGTATATACATACGTATGTACATACATACATACCTCATTTGGTCCTCACAGCCACCTTGGGAGATGAGTGTTCTTTTTATCCCCATCTTACAGTTAAGTAAACTGAGGTAAAGAGGTTAAGTTACTTACCCAAGATTATACAGCAAGTGCCTAGGCTGGATTTGAACCCAGGTCTTCCTAATTCCAGGTCTTTACCTCCTAGCTGCCCGATAATAAGACCACCACCCACCAGCCTTTATGTCAGTGCTTTGCCGCTCCCAGGGCTCTGGTGCTAACAATAGTCCTGCAGAGGAGGCAGGCCAGGGATGATCCTAGCATGACCTTTTGTTGTGATGAGGCTGGGGCTCGGGCTGGGGCTGGAGGGCCCCTGTTACTAGGATGTCTTCCTAGGCTTTGATCACCCTCTGTCAATCAGAGGCATGTTTTCTTCCAGCAGAGTGGTTCTTCAGCCACAAGAACCAGAGAAGGAGGAAGGGCTTTTTTGGAGTCAGCTAAATCAAACACAGGCAAGAACCACACACCAAAAGCCACATTGATTGTACTAATGGTACCAGCAGCGTCTTCTTTATCCCTTCTGTGAGGTTATCAGTGGAGAGTCAGTCCCTTTGACTGAAAGAGGCTAATTAGAACCCAATGAAGATTAAATAAACAAGCTTCAATAAAATGAGCTGCCTGTACTATTTAATTGCCATGATTAAAACAGCCCTGATAAAGAAGCACCTTAAATGCAAACAGCAGGGGAGAGGTAAAAATACTATACAGGGTTGTGAGATGCCCAAGAATAGAATCCATAGTGTTCAGTTAGGGAGCAGCAGAAAATGTGCCATCTTTTATTTTGTCTCATCAGTGGGTTGGTTTGCCAAGCAGAATATACTTAATGCTCAGTCAGTGGTTCATGGTAATGAATAACCAGCAAAAAAGCCAAAAACTCCTTCGTTTTATGCCATTACTGAAAAGCTAATTTGGCTTTTTAAGTGGCCATGCCCAGTGCCGGCAGGGAGACGCAGCCTGAACTCGCGTCCCTGTCCAGCTGGGTTTGTTCATCTTGGTAATTATTAGCATTTTTGCACCGTACCCTCCTCCCTCAAACCCCATTCAGTGGTTAATTACCCCGTTTGCGCACCTTGGATTCTTTCCTTTCCCTGTTACCACCTTTGGGGCACCATCCATGGATCTGGGGACAGAGAGAAGTCAAATGCAGCGCAGCCCATGGGGCACCCGTTAGCCCGTCCCTGGGAAGGTTCAGTGAAGAGACTGCAAAGAATAATTCGTGAAGTGTGTGGACACCTGAAGGATGTCATTTCTGTCCCTGGCTCACAATAGCAGACATAGTGAGTTGGCTATGTGGAACAGATGCTGTTAAAATAAATTCCAGGGGCAGCTAGGTGGCGCAGCGGAGAGAGCACCTGCCCTGAAGTCAGGAGGACCTGAGTTGAAATCTGGCCTCAGACCAAGCACTAGACACTTAACTAGCTGTGTGACCCTGGGCAAGTCACTTAACACCAATTGCCAAAAAACAAACAAACAGACCTAAAATAAATTCCAAATGATCATCCAAATTATTTGGTTGGGCTGAAATTACAATGTAACTTTTTTGAAATAAATCAACTGGACTGTTTGGCTGAGACTTAGAAATATCTTTTATTCAGAGGTCTTTATTTTAGTGGGATTGATTGTGGCAGGTTCTAACCTCTCCAGAATTTTCAGTGAAATTTTTTTTTTTAGGCAATTGAGGTTAAGTGACTTGCCCAGGGTCACACAGCTAGTAAGTGTCAAGTGTTTGGTCTGAGGCCAGATTTGAACTCAGGTCGTCCTGACTTCAGGGCTGGTGTTCTATCCACTGCGCCACCCCGCTGCCCCTCAGTGAATTCTTCAAAGGAGGAAGTCGGCAGATAAAAGTAAATGGGTTCTTGGTCCCCAAATGTAGGAGGCGAGTTAAAGAAAGGTTTGAGGATATCCATGTTGGAGAAAGGACACCTTATATTTAGTAGGTCACACCTTGGGGATGAGTGTTTCCAGAAGGTTTTTCAGGGGAGGTCAGGAGACAGCCAGCCTGAAATATAATTAGCGTGAAATAAAATCTGAACTTGGTTATTGTTGTATGAGTTAATGTTATAAGAATGGCCTGAGGGTAAAAGGAAGGGCCCTGATGGTCAGCCCGGATGTTCAAGGAGAAGGGGAGTTTGGAGGAGAAGCTTGATCCGCATCAACTGAGTGGAGCCTAGAATCTCAGAATCAGGGCTCTCAGAGGTCATCCGGCTGACCCTGTATCTGGACAGAAGTCTCTCTAAACCACCCCCGACAAATGGTCATCCAGCAGTCTGTTCCGCTTTGGGACACCTTTAAAGTGTTAGGAAGCTTTTCAATAATTAATAATAGCTAGCATTTCACTTTATGGTTTGCAAAGCACTGTTCTGATACCTCACTTATCCTCACAGCAATCCTAGGAGGTGGCCATTATTAATTATCCACCTCTTACAGTTCAGGAAATGGAGGTAGATAGAGGTTAAGTGACTGTCTGGGGTCATCATACAGCTAGTAAGTGTCTGAGGCTGGATTTGAACTCAGGTCTTCTTGACTCTATGTCCAGCATCTATCCACTGTGACACCATGGAGCCAAAATTTGCTTCTTAGCCTAGTTGAGGCAATAAAGATATGCTGGATGGACTGTTAAGTTTTCAGTGTGAGCCTATATATACCTTGGAAATCAGCAAATGCTACAGATCAGGGTTTGTTTTATTGTTTTGTTGATTTCTAGACTTAGGAAAGTGATGGAGACAGCATAGTGCAGAATAAACTTGAAGGCATGCCATAAATACATCTCTCTCTTTTTTTTTTTTGGTTGAGAGCTGGTTATTAAACATTTACCAGCAATACCCCTAAATAACTTTGGGCAAGACACTTTCCCTCCCTGAGTTTATTTCATTGTCTGTTAAATAAGGAGATTAGACTAGGTGATCCCCAAGGTGTCTTCTAGCTCTAGAAAAATAATCCTAGTACTAACATCTTCAACTCCAAAGAATCCTCACTACTAGTAAACTATTAGCTGGTGGAAGAAGATGAATCTGATGGTTAAGACTAGGGAATATTTAGCCTGGAGACTTCAATGAGAAAAGACTTCAGCTATTTTGAGGGTTCTGGATATCTATTGAAATAATCGGTCCATGTCCTAATGATTACTAGACTAAATGTATTTCCCCTAGGTGTCTTAAAACCAGGAAGTCAATCTTATATATAGGGGGACCTGTCTTATTTTTACTAGGATGATAGGTACCAGCTCTAAACTCTTCTAATATGAAGTAATTAGCTTTTTGTTGGACCAAATTCATAATAAATGAAATAACGTAAATGGCCATTTATAATGACCTGGTCATTCATAAATGAAATAACCTTTCATCACCTGAACCTGCCAGAGACCAGATCTTGGAGCAGGTAAACCACTATTGAAACATTCTCTCTCCCCCTTCCTATAAAATGACACTGTTGTGTCCTCCGACCTTGCTGCTCTTCATTGTGGTGAGATACTTCATTGAAGAATGAATCTTTGGGTAAAGAACTCTGATCAAAGTGCAGCCTGGTAGACAGCTGGAAAGGGCTTCAGAGATAGAATTTTTTTATGTGTCAGCTAGATGATGCAGGGATAACGTATAGACTTTGGAGTTAGGAAGACCTGAGCTCAAATCCTGCCTCAGATATGTACTAGCTTTAAGTATCCTCAGATACTTAAGATGGGGCACCTAGGTAATGCAGTGGATAGAGTTCTGAGCCTCAGTCAGGAAGACTCATCTGGCCTCAGACACTTACTAGCTCTGTGACCCTGGGCAAGTCCTATTTGCCTTCAGTTTTCTCATCTGTAAAACCTAACTCTATTTGCCTTCGTTTCCTTATCTGTAAAATGGGCTGGAGAAGGAAATAGCAAACCACTTCAGTATTTTTGCCAAGAAAACTCTAAATAGGGTCATGAAGAGTTGGACACAACTGAACAAGGAATCTTCAGATACTTACTAGCTGTAAGTTTCCCCAGATACTTAGTAGCTTTAAGCCATCCCCAGATACTTACTAGCTTTAAGTATCTGGCAAGTCATTTAACCTCATTCTCATCTGTAAAATGGTACTACTAATAGCATCTACTTCACAGAGTCGTTGTGAGGATAAAATGAGATAACATGTCAGAGCATTTTGCAAACCCTAAAGTGCTATATAAATGCTAGCTACTATTAGAACAAGAAGAAAACTGAGGCCAGGGGAGGTGTCTTGCCTAGGACATTGCTCATAAATAGCAGGAGTGGGGCTCCAAACCTGTATCCTCCGCATCCAAATCCAGTGTTCTTTCCATCCTGTATCAACCACTCTGCTTCTCCCAGTTGCCCCTCTTTCCCTCAGATCGAACAGGCCTTCTCTACCCTGACCGTCCCTCTTCCCCCTTCCTGGTAAAGATCAGAAAGTAGTCCAGCCTCTCAGCAGGAGCAGCTGAGCCATTCTGGCCTGGCGTTGGCACCTCCACTTATTCAGTAGTGAGTACTGCCTGTTAGTAATAATAGTGTTTCAGGCCCTGTTAGCTGGGGTGCAGTGGACAGAGCTGGGCCTGGAGTCAGGGACATGTGAATTCAAACCAGTCTCAGACACCAGCTGTGTGACCCTGAGCAAGTCACTTAACCCCTGCCTACCTCAGATTCTCAGGTGTAAAAATGGAGCTCATAATAGCACCTGCCTGGCAGGGTTGTGGTGAGGCTGAAAGGAGTTGTTTGTGAGAAGCAGCACAGAGTAAGTGCTAAGTAAATTCTTATTCCCCCTCCCTTCTCCTCTCCCTTCCCCCACCCGCTGTAGTGTGGCTTGTAAAACCTCCATGAGCCCTAGCACTATGTCCTTATGCCTGTTTGATAACTGCCCAGAAATGTGGTGTTTTGGTTTTTTTTAAATTACCATCATGAGGAGGATGATGAGGATGATTTTCATAGCATGAGGCTTTTCTTTGCATGGCTTATCAGATGAAGTTCTTGGCTGACAGATAAACCAAGGGTATAGGGGAGGGGGAATTGATCAAGATAGTAATTTTCTGCAAAGAGAGGACTTTGAAACCCTGTGCAGTACGCCCTAAGAAAGAATTACTCTGGGGGGGGGGGCAAAATTGGAGGCCTATTTAGGCCTGGGTTGGAGGGGGACAGGAGGGGAGTCAGAATCTACATCCTGTGAGGAAGATGTCTTCTCTTAATTAGGAATCACTTAAAATGAAAGATGAGATTCACTGATGATGAAAATGGGTGCAGTACCAGATAACTAAGCTCTTTGAGGGCAAGGGGTCACATGGGATATATGCTGTGCCTCAGTTTCCTTCTCTGATCTTCTTTGGTGAGATCATTGAACCTGAAGTTTCCAATTCTGTCTCAGACACTTAAGTACCTGTGTGACCCTGGACAATTCGCTTAACCCCAGTCTGCCTCAGTTTCCTCATCTGTAAAATAGAGATAATAATAGCACCTACCTCCTGGGGCATTGTTAAGGACCAAATGGGAATATTTGTAAAGCACTTTGCAAACATTGAAGCACTACGTAAATGCCAGAGCTGTTATTAATAACCTCTCCCTCCAACTTGAACACTACTGAAGCTTTGTTTCGCTTGCATCGTTCACCATCTTTTATTATATTTGTGTTCGTGTTGAATCCCCTCCAATTGTAAGCTCCTGGAGCAGGAAGGATGAGGTCACTTTTGTTTTAATCTTTGCAGACTCAGAACCTAGAATAAAGCCTTGCTGGCGGTATGTGTTTAATGTTGCTAAATGAATAAATCTGTAAAATGGGTTTCCTAATACCTTTCCTCGCTTTCAGATGCTAAATAACCCTATCTTCTACTTTGGTAGCATTTTAAAGTTTCCAAGATGCTTTCCTCACAATCATCTGTTCAGCGAGGTGGTATAAATGTTACCTCCATTTTTATAAATAAGAAAACCGAGGCACAGAGAAGTAACCTGTCTGTGATCATAAAAACGTTAGGAAGGAAAGAAACAGGTATTTATTAAGCACCTCCTATGTGCCAGGCACTGTTTTAATACGTTAGCTATTATTAATATCAGCTATGATTAGTATTCATGTGTAGCACAGTATCTCAAACGCAGTAAATTCTACATCAATGTTTGTTGGGTGACGAATGCAAATGGTCACTATCGGATGTGAGGGTGGCACCTAGTTTTTCTTAGCTAAATGTTTGTTGCAGTATTCCTTCAGGAAATCGAGACATTTTTTCAAAAGACCTTTTTAAAGGGACACTGTCAATCCAGATTTAATCCTTTGAAGACAAATTTATGCCACCTTTTTGGTGTTGGCCACTGACTGAACTCCCCACCAAGAAAGCTCACACGGGGAGTTTACGGCAGTGAGGAAGAAACTTTTTGCTCATCAGAAAAAGATCACATTTCTCAAAGTCCTGTGTAATTTCTGATATTTATTACCAAAACAGGCGAAAGATTGCTTTTCATCTTGACAGTGTCCCTTTACCGTCTTCCTTTAGGTGGTTAAATGCAGAATAAGGGGATGATTTAAGCAATTACATTCATTAAAGAAAATTATTTTATTATCATTTTTTTAAGTAACCAAGCTATTTTCTTTCAGCTAAAAGAAAAGAAAAAAGGCCGAGGTAACTTTTTTTAGCCACTTCATCAATGAGAAAAAAATCAGAATATATTCAACATTCCCTTTTTTTTTTGTCAATGCACAAAATAATTGCACTGTATTCAGCAAACAGTTTACATGCACCAGGAAAAAAAAAAAGAACAGAACCAGAAAAAAGAAAAATGCAGATTTAGACTGTTTACTTAAGGAGTCACAAAAAGGCATCCATGTAAGGGTTAGTGGTTTCATGTCTAGTGTATGATCAAGTTTTCATATGCAGCTCTCCAAAAGGACGACTGGGTTTTTCTTTTTAGATCGGGCTACTTTGGGTGGGCACAGGATGCAAAGACGCAGAGTCCAGCTAAATGAATTGTGTCCAGTAGGGTGCTAGTCAGAACCTCAGAAGTCATGGAGGCACCAGAAATAAGGAAATGTCACCATGGGCATTAAGAGAAAGCTCAGGACTGCTCTTCGCTGAATTGCAGTTGGGGAATAGGAACTGGCAGATGTGCATGAGGCGTAGAACTAGGCAAAGTGTTGACTTGAATCTGCAGCATTGGGCCCTGCCCTCCTACTCTTCCTCCTGGGGGACCCAGCAGTAGGTGAAAGTGCAGGTCACGGCTATTCTGATTTCGGCAGTCACAGTGCTAAAGTGGGCAGGTCTTACTTTTTTTTTTGGAGAGTCTCAAGTGAGAAAGTTGATAGTCCAGAGCTGGAGAGAGAAACAGGGATAAGCTGAGCAGGGTTTGCTAACACAGTAGAAGCTCTGGCTTTTGGAGAAGGTCTTTTTGCAGCAAAAACGTAGGAAAAGATGATGTCTGTCTGCTTGCCTTTTGGCAGCAATGACACCTTCATCCTTTCTAAAGAAATGATAAACGGATGTTTCTCTGTCAGACATTTCTGTCACTTCATATGGGTTATGAACTGTCCAGTCCCCTGAGGCTGACCCTACTGTTGAGAAAAGCCATCCTGGCTGGTTAGAGAATTTACCTTCCAGCCACAAAATATGGGCTCTGTCATGGGGCATTTATTGAAGTTAGAAATAGTCTGAATAACATCTCCTTACGTTAGGAATCATCCTTATGAATTCCAGAAGGAAAAATTGCTTTCCCTCAGACTCCAATGAATGCTGGACATGACTGCCTAAAAGGAATCTTTAGTTTTCTGAATGTTACCAGTATGGAGAGGACACAGGAGCTTCTCTCATGTGAAGATTGGAAGTTGTGGAATATCCTCAGTGGTGCCAAGGTATGGCACTATCTTCATACAAAGGAAGAGGAAGCTCCAGGTGCTGTTTTTTATGAATGAGATGGGGGTGGGTGGCTTACTGGGATATTAGAAAGGAAAGATGTCAGGATGGCAGGGGGAGAGCATCTGTTTAGAGGAAGAGACTGTGTCCCTCATACAGCTCAAGACTCCCCTAGCTGCCTTAAAAACCTTAGCCATCACGGAGGAGGACACAGGAGCTGCTGGGGAAGACCCACGTAAACTTGACAGGGGAGGGATGGGAAGTAGAAAATCACCTCGTGAAGGAAAATGTCATGAATCCCTACCTCAGTTTAGTCCCACTAAGCCCCTTTGTATGGAGCAAAAAAAGACATTAGAGTTTTTGCGTCAAGGAGATGCATTGATTTTACTCTGCTTCTGAATATGTGACTGGAGATGAAAGTGTTTACTGAAATGAGTCAGAGACTATCAGTTAGAAGGGGTCTCAGAGGGTATCTAGCCCAACCCATACCTGAATAGTAATCTCTACAACATGCTAAGAAGTGGACATCTCTCCCCTGTGAAGATCTCCTGGGAGGGGAAATCTACTCCCTTCCAAAGAAGGTCTAGCCTACCCTTCACAGAGATTTCTGACACCATCTCACCTGGGTAAGAAACCCTTTTAAATTATCCCTGACAAAGAGTCCTCCAGCCTGTCCTGAAGGTCTGCTTGGAGGGGACCCTCTGCTTCCTGAGATAGGCCTGTCCCCTTTTTGACAAGTCTTAACTGTTAGGAAATTCACCTTATCTACTGAACAGCTTTAATTATCTGTAAGCTTTTCCTTTACACTTAGCCTAAATCTGCCTCTGCATCTATAATCCATTGTCCCAAAGCCTCACAAACCAGTCCGGTCTTTCTTCCACATGACAGCCGTCCATCTGAAGACAGCTGTTGCTGCCCCTCTAACTTTTTCCTTCTTTGGCCAAGCATCATCCTTTTGTTCAGTATGCATGAACTTAAGCCCTCCTCAACATTGCCTAGCTTTTCAATGTCCTTAAAATATGGCACCCAGAATTGAATACAGTACTCCAGGTGTGGACTGATCAGGACAGAAGACAGTGGGATTATATGCTTTTTGGTACAGCCTGAGATCATGGTAGTTCTTGGAATGGCCATATCTCACTGTGGACATCCTGATTTTGTAATCCACTAAAATATCGGGTTTTTTTCCCTCCAGAATAGGATCTTCATTTTGCCAACCAACAGTAGAAAATAGCAAGAAATGAGGTAGGGATGTAAATTTGCATCCATTCTCTACTTCGACCTTCGTGATAGTGGGACTGAGACACTCTGGCCAGAACTTTGCAAGTAACAGTCATTCAGTAAATGATTGGAGTATATTGAATTGAACAGAGCAAGGGCAGCGGTCTCAATGTGAAGCAGACTCCTACGGCCAAGGCGCTTTTCCTTGCAAAGTACTGGGTCTGTGCCTGATTTCAGGCTCCTCCAGCTGCCCACAAAGACTGGCATAGGAAAGACTCAACAAAATAATGCCTCTGGTGCTGCCAGTCTGGTACTGTGCACTGAAACAAACACTCTCTGCTCCTCTCAAGAGGGCCCTGATTCTGCAACACCGTCAGTCCCTCCCCATAGGCGAGGCATCAGACCATTTATCTACGCCAGAGCCAGATAATCTCTTCTGCTGCCAATGCACCCATCAAGGGAATTTTAACCTGAAAGTCTCCATCAAGCCATAGAATGAACTCCCTAACATGGCTGGCCATCTTTTCTCAAGATTTTCAGCTGCCAAGTCTGCCCCAAATCACTCAAACCCCTTCCATCTCATACTGATAAGAACCTTTCCCTTCCTTCCTGGACACAATGCCATCAGGATGATGGCCGTGCCTGTCCCGGTTTATAATCTATGAGCCCTTATGTCTTTAGGTTTTTCATATATTTCCACATCCTTTCCAGGCATGTAGATAGATATACCTTAGGGGCCCTATATTTTTCAAGGGCATTGCTTAAGTCAAGGCAACTGCATGGTTTGTTTTTTTTCCCTCCTCCTTGCATCATTTAAGGCAGTCTTAGCAATGCTGCTCAGGACTTACATGTCAAAGGATTCATTTTGTTTACTCTTAATTCTGGGTAACATCTAGGTAACACTGACAGCCAGAGGTGAGGCAATATTACTAACACCTCAGGCTAATCTTTCTTGAATAGGCCGGATTTACAGCCTTCTACTCCTTCCTTTAACTGGATTTTTGACTTATTCTTATGTGAATAAAAGGCAAATTCGCCTCTGCCCCCCACTCCCACCTCAGGAGTGATTATTGAATACCCACTATAAGAATTACTCTATCTCAGCTTCTTAATCTGGGAGAGTCTGTGAACTAGGATGGGGAGAAAAGACATTTGAATTTTCACTAACCTTTGGTTTCCTTTGTAATCCCCTGTTTCATTTGAGGCATTTAAAAGAGTTATAGACTTCATCAGAGTGCCCAAGGCCTCCAGGACACACACAAAAAGGTTGAGAGCCCCTGCCTATCTTAACTTGGTACGATGCAAATGCTGGTATTCATCTCTTCTCCACTGGATCAAGTAGTTGGTTAAAGTTAGTGGAGTAGATATTTTGCACAATTTTAGAGAGGCCCCTTTCCCTTAATTACTTTCCCTGAACTAAAGGAAGGTATAAAGGTTGGAAGGCAGATTCTATAAAAAGAGAAATGGGATTTAACCTAGGAGAGAAAATACAAATTATTGCACAAAGGATGATAACCTTAAGTTCCATCTGTGCTTAAAGGCAGAAGAAGAAGAAACAAGCTGGACGTGTGTACCATGGAGACATTTGAAATTAGAGATGGGGAAAGACGATAAAGTGAAATCTCAAAATGGTCACCTCTGAGGAGCCAGCCACCTGAGATGGTGTAGCTATTGTATTATTGGAAAGTAGAAGATGAATTCTCAGGACTCGGAAGGTTTCCTTTTCTGCCTTTCATTTTGACACAATGGTTTCTCAAGGACAAAAGCTCTAGTTGAGGCATAACACATGTTAATCCATGTTTTATCCAAAATTGAATGGCAAACAATCCCAGCCTGTGGATGCCTTGCAAGATAGCTGCCTACTTGCTGCAACCAATCCAATATGGCAGTTCTATTTGGACATTTTCCACACTAGGTGGCCCATCAATTCTTTTGGCATCACAAGCCAGAGGACCAAACATGTAGAGTCCAGAAGTGAGATAATGGCCTCCTCTCGTGATTTCATGAAATGCTTCTTTTCTGATGGCTATGGGAAATCTCAGTGAATTGACTTGAGACTGGCATGTCCAGTCATACCATGCTGGGGAAGATTTTGACTAAAAAAAAAAACAGTAAAAAAAGAGGATGTTGGCATTTGTTTCAAAGGGATAAGGGTCACTTTAGAAAATCAGTCAGTAAGCCCTTGTGTTTCTGGGATCTTTCTCCCTTAGTGATCTGCTCAGCTGTGTTTGCTCTCATTTCTTGGGAGCCACACTGACCTTCTGTCTGGCCGCTAGGCCTTGCTTGTCCATACTCTTTTATTTTACATACATCAAACCATTCATATAATGTTGGCAGCACATGAGTCCAAGAGGATGGATAAGGAGCATTTTTTAGGTATTCAACTATTCAGACACTTCCTATGCAGGAAATCAAATTCAAAAGGCACAAATCTGAAATACAAATTATGAAAATCCTCAAGTTTTAGGTAAGAAAAATCCATAAACCGAGGCACAGATAAGTCAAGCAACTCAACTAAATCCTATAGGAAATCCCTTTAAAAAGTGAGTCCATTCCCAGGGCCTCCTCCACCTGATTTCACCAAGGACTTATTGCCTCCCAAGTTATCTTTTCATCTATTTGGACTAACCTGTGGTTAGTCGAGGGTTGGGTTTAGCTAAGTGGCAGAAAATAATCAAAATGACCAATATAAAATGCTTTGTTTTCAGAACAAAGACTAGGATTGCTTATATTCCAAGTTTCTTACTATATGCTCTTTCAAAAAAAATCATTTTTTTTTCTGTTTTAACTCACATTGAAACGTGGTTTAGAAAACCAGGTTTCAAAGCATGGTTCAGTAAGACTCATCTACCTCCCCTTCTCTGAGCTGATTTGGCATCTTCTCAGCCAAGTCCCTTCACTTTTCTGTGCCTCGGCTTTCACATTTGCAGATAGGGACAACGGCACCTTTCTTACAGGATTGCTTTGGGTATTAATTAAAAAACTGTTAAATGCTTTGGGCCACTGGGAGATAGCTGCTGGTGCTTCCATACTGCCCCACCCACCCTGTAATTCTCATTTACCTTCCTCTAGTGAGACAAGCATGTGTGTACTCGGGCAAGAGATGAAGAAAAGCAAGCCTGTAGACACTGGTGGAAGAAAATGATGAGTGATGTAGCTGTCAGGGAAATGGCTCTGGCCAAGGTATGACAAGCAGGTGCTTTCTTAAAGTGCTCAACCTGCAACAATTAATCACGTCATCCTCGCTTTTAATCACATTGTTTTGGCAACCAATTAAAGCTACTCTTCAGGTGTCTTTCAGACCCAAGCAGCCTTGATTTGAGTGGGCTCTTTTGGAATGAGAAGAAATGGTTTGGTCTAGTGAATATAACAACCCCAAACAAAAGCCCTGGGGCATTCGTTGGGGGTCCCCAATTTAATTCACTGGCAGCCAGGAATGGTGCTCATGGAAAACAGTCAGTCACCAGTGTGAAGCGCCTAGGCATGAAACCACTAGTTCTTGTATTGAATGATAGGCATTTTTGTGCTGTTGCTTTTTTTTTTTAATACATTATCTAAATATTTTATGGTGTTTGCATGTAAATATGTAACCTGCCTTTGTAGGTACCATTTTGTGGCATGCAGTTACTGGAATGTACAAAAGAAGTCTTGCTAATCTTTACAAAGAGTTGCAAACAGAATTACAAAACACGTTTCCCAGCATGGAGGATTCTCAGAGCTGCAAGTTAACAAGAATCTTTATTTGGTTCGCTTTAGGTTCTGCAGCAACCACTCAATATTAAAAAAGAGGAACAGAAAATTAAGATGTACAAAAGATGTAATATCCCTTTAGAAAGCAAACTGTCAGAAATGTATTTGTATTACTGATGCTCTCTCCTATGTCCCCTCCCACCCTCTCCCCCCAAAAAGACCCTTGAACTAAACAAAAACTGAGAAGGATGGTGTGAGTGTGTGTGTGAGAGTGTGTGTGTGAGTGTGTAAGGAAAAGAACTAAAATTCAGTGGAACATGCTCTAATCTTTAGTTTATTTCTGGTTAAAAATATAGCAGTCCAGTGCAGTGTAATAAAGAAATCTGCTTCAAACAGAGCAGAAAAACAGCTAAAGAGAAGCAAAGCAGAGTCTGGAAGTCTGGGCTGTACCCAACAACGTTGTATGTGGAATCCTTTTTCAAAGGAATTTCCCCAATGTGGAACTGAGGTGTTTATCTATGGATCTGTCCACACTCAATATAGACACATACATACACGCACAGGCATGTCAAGGTGTTCTCTCTAATGACTGCTGATCAGAGAGGGACAGTCAAACATGGCGGTCTAGCCTATGATTTGGGTTAGATCGTGAAGCCATGATGGCAGAGTAGGCAGAAACACACTGTACCTCCTGCTCTGACTGAAACAACACTCGGGTTGTATGTTTTTGCACTGGTTTTTTTTTTTGGGGGGGGCAGGGTTGGGGGAGGGAGGTAGAGATTTTTTTTTAATGAACTTGGGAATTTTTTTTTTTTAGTCACTGAGTTTTAAAATGTAATCCTGTTATTGGGACCCAAACAGCTTCAGAACAGGGATAGTGCATCCTTAATGATTATGCATATCTACCAGTGGGGAAATCAAGGCAGACATTATTACAAAGATGGTAAAACCAATGAACTTAAGTGACATATATCGTAGAAAACAATACATCCTTAAGGGGCTGTCATTACCAATGATGGCGTACAAGGGACATGTTGGAAGCCTGAATATACGTCCTGCATACAAAGTGCAAAAATACCACATGCTCTGAGCCCAAGCATGATGTCGGAAACTGTCCATGGCAAGATGTACCAGACACACTGACTGCATTCGTTCCTAGACCCTCCAGTCTGGCTGAATCCAACTCCTAGACCTCCAGTAGCATGGTTTCCCTCAGGAGCTGGTGTATGGGTGACAAGGAGGCAAGGGAAAACACCTCGGGTTAGGGCATTTGATGCCAAATATGAAAATGAACCACTCGTCCAGATGTATAGGCGTGCACACCTGGTGTTTGGTTAAAACCCAGGGTATGAGCTGGGGATCAGGGATCTGGCCTTCTCAAAGACAGCCAACGGGGCAGTGTTGGAAAATGGTACGATTAATAAATTTAGATGGGTAGAAAAGGGGAAGGCATTTCCCCCCTCCCCCCTTAATGTGTGTATGCCCATTTAAAGACAAGAAAAAGGGCTAGTTTCCCTACCCATTGGAAAAAGTCAGCTTCCAGTCCCCGCACTCTATACCCACGAATGCTCGTCACCAGGATATCTCAGAGCCGAGAGTGAAAAGAAAGTATGAACTACCTTTCTTTCCATCTCCCAACCCTGGTGCTGGTGTCTTGAAGACTGCTGCTTCCTTCTCCTCGCTTGACCCAGCTCAAAATGAGATGCTCCTCTGGGATGTCGCTCTTCAGCCGCCGTGTCTTTCCTCTGCCTGTTGGCAGCAGCTCGTCTTCCTTGTGATGGTGACGATGATGACAAAGGTGATTTGATTTCCCGAGATCCCTTCCGTTCTCTTTCCGCATCTAGCTGGGAGGGCTGGCGTGTTGGCCACCTTCTGCCACGTCACACAGCATAGTGTTATACAAGCAAAGAATTTTGGCTAAAATCCAAAAAACATTACCCAGAAAAAAAGGCAGACTGTGAGTGATACCCAATCGTGTTCTTCTGTGAAAAGACTTGGAAGTTGTCGGACAGTCAGAGTTACGCTCGTTCCCTCTTTCGTTCTGTTTTGTGTTTTGTTTTCCTCTCCTTTCCCCCATCCGTATGTAGAACGGTTATTCTTGCTAAGACAGTCTCATTAGATGAAAAAGTTAATGAACAAAATGGCGACTCCAATGTTTAGCAAGATCACCATGACCACCAGGATAGGAGCTGAGCCCTGGAACAGAGAGAAAGAAGGAAAGGTGAATTTCGTGGTCACGATAAGTGCGTAGCTTTCTCCTTATTGGACACACCTTATTTCCCCTTAAACCCAACTATCAGGAATTCAGAGGAAAGAGGGGTGAGAGATTGCCAACAGTTCAGGGACCAGTGGGGCCGAGCGTACACATTTCACTAGAAGACAAAGGACCGGAAAGGTCAGGTGAAACCGAAGGCTGCCGTGTACACCACTTTCTAATTGGGACCATCAGCGGCTGGTTTGCAAACAGGGTAATGAGGAGTACTAGCTCTTCCTCATTTTCTACCTGAAATGATGGATCTCAGAACTACTTACGGCCTTGACAGAATGGACCGTGGATCCCTCTGGTTACCCCTTTGGAAGATAAAAGAAGGCCTTCTTAAGGACAAGTGATCAGTGACCCAGGCAGACATAGATGAGCCACCACGGTGGCCAATTCAGAATGGCCCATGTTGTCCACACTACCCCACACTCTAGACCTCACCCTTGAAATTCACTGCCACACAGCCCTGCTGAAATAAAGAATCCCAATTCCTTGAGATCACCCCCATTCGCTGCTTTCCCATATAAACTATTTTCCTATCCACTCTGCAGTCCTGGAGGCTGATTGGTGGCACTGCTTATGTCTCCCCTCCCCCACTCCAGTTATTCAAAAGCCATGGATGAAGGAAGGAAACCTATGTCAGAAGCTTCCTAGCTATGTGACCCTAGTGGGCAAGTCACTCACCTCAGTCTGCCTCAGTTTCCTCCTCTGCCAAATGGGTATACTAATGGCACCTTCCTCACAGGGGTGTTATCAGTACCAAAAGAAAGAATGTGTAATAATAGAAGCTAGTGTTTATATGGCACTTTAAGTAAAGTTTACAAATGTCTTTGCAAGTATTATCTAATTTGATCCTCACAGTAATGCTGGGAGGTAGTTGCTGTTACAGATATTACATATATATACATATATATATATGTATATATATATATATATATATATATACACACACACACACACACACATACATACACACGTATGCATATATGTATGTGTATATATATGTATATATATATATACACACACACACACACACACACACACACACACACATATGTATATGAGGAAACTGAGGCAGCAGAGGTTATTTGCCCAGGATCACAGCTAGTAAATGTCTGAAGAAGGATTTGAACTGGGGTCTTCCTAATTCTGTGGCAGCTAGGTAGTGCAGTGGATAGAGAGCTGGGCCTGGAGTCAGGAACATTTATCTTCCTGAGTTCAAATCCAGCCTCAGACACTTACTAGCTGTGTGACCCTGGGCAAGTCACTTCACCCTGTTTGCCTCTGATTTCTCATCTGTAAAATAAGCTGGAGAAGGAAATGGCAAACTGCTCCAATCTTTGCCAAGGAAACCCCAAATGGGGTCACAAGGAGTTGGACACGACTAAAACATGACTGAACAGCTGAATTTCCTGACTCCAGATCTAGGGCTTTACCTACTGCAATGAATCCACTTGAGTTCAAATCTGGCCCCAGATACTTACTAGCTGTGTGACCCTGGGCAAGTCACTTTACCTCTGTTTTCCTTAGTTTCCTCATCTGTAAAATGGGTGTGATAATAGTACCTATCTCCCAGCATTACCATGAGGATCAAATGAGGTCATATTTGTAAAGAGATTCACTATTTAAATGCTGGCTATTATTAGTGTTTTGCAAATTAAAACTAATCTATTAAGCTAAGAGGTTTTTCTGTGTGTGTGTGTCTGTCTGTCTCTCTTTCCCTCTCTGTCTCTGTCTCTTTCTGTCTGTCTGTCTCTCTCTCCCTGCTACTTGGCATTTTCTTCAGCTTCTTCTCTGAATCCTGGAATGCTGAATCCTTGCTCAAATCATCCAAATGCTCAGCCCTTGGACACGAGACCACCTTGGTTCTGGGGCTCTCTCTCTGACTCTCCCCCACCCTTCACACTCCCAATCCTCTTTTTGTCACGGTCCTCTCCAGCTCAGGGGTTTCTAACGGCAGTTTCTCCTCAGCCACAGTGGCTGTTGTCGGGCAAAATTTGTCTGAAACCAATCAGTGTCCCTGCCGCATCTCAGTGTGATAGGAAATCTGCAGTGAGATTCCTCAGAAGCCGCAGCAGCTCCCACACGCCAGCCCCTCCAGCCAGCCCGGTCGGCAGAGTGGACCGCACTGGACAGGAATGCTAACAACAGAGGGGGTGGGGGAGGAGGAGGAGATGGAGGGAAGGGCAGAGCAGAGCCAGGATGCTCTGGCAAGCTTCTGTGGCCCGTGCCCACTCTGTCCAGCAAAACCACCTGAGTGAGGGAACCGCCATGGGATCTCAGGCTAGAGGTTTCCTTGGGAAACACATCTGCCAGATCAGTTGGGGAGAAGGCCCCGCCTGGCATCTTAGGACCAAGTTGTCAGGATGGCGTTTCAAAGCCACTCTCGCCTGGAAGACGCTGACCCCCATATCTCCTTGAATCAAAACCAGGAGAGCTCGGTGTGTGCAGGCTGCAGCAAAGAACAGACACACCCTGGGCTGCAGGCCTGACTTCAGTTTCCAAGGATTGTGAGAAGCCTATTTCTGTCCCTTCCCCAGCCCTGCAGATAAAAATAGGTAAACTGAGGCACGGTTTTTTATTCAGCTGTGTTTCTACTTAGCTGATTTTGAATTTAACTGTTCTATTTGAAACAGACTTCTTTACAAAATTACACTCGATTTTACAAAAGTAGATAGGTAGTGGATAGATAGATAGATATTTTAACCAAACACAAATGAAAGATTAGAGTGTGCTCTGAGTTAAGCCTGGATCTGCAAGGTTGGGGCCCTGAGTTGGGCAGTAGAGGTCCTGGAGTCTTAATGAGGGATGTTCTAGGTATCACTACACCCAGCTTAGAGTGAAGGGTTCTAGGATCTCCCAGACTGGCTCCAGCTCTCTTCTGCCTTGGGCCTGATCTCAGATGAGGAATGTTCTAAGTATCACTACAGCCAGCCTAGACTGAAAGGTTCTAGAATCTCCCAGACTGGCTCCAGCTATATTTTGTCCTGAGCCCGGGGTGGGTCTGAGCTCTGATGAAGAATGTTCTAGGTATTATCACTATACCAGGCCTAGACTGAAGGGTCTCAAGACTCTCCCAGACTGGCTCCAGCTCTCTTCTGACATGGGCCCTGGGCATGGGCTCTGCAGCAGAGTAGCTGGGCAGCATTTTCCATCTGTCTCTGTCTCATCCCTCTGATCTATTTTAAAGAAGCCTCCACGCTGGCCCTATTAACATTTCCTCCTCTGGAGCTCACTGACTCAGTTCAGTTGGGGCATGGGGGGGGGTGATGGAGGGAAGAGGGGGGCAGGGAGGCTGTCTCCCAAGCCTTGGAGCTTGTTGGAAAGGCTTACGTGGTCGCATAGCAACAAGGTCAGGGAGCCAACCAGAGGGAAGGATTTCTCAGAACCTCTCCCGGCAGCCAGGTAGCTGCCCTGGATTGGTAAATGTGGCTCTGTCTGCTTGCATTCCAGGACTCTGTTTAAGACACTGACTCCCCAGCCATGCCCTTCTCCCCAACCTCCTGGGTTAAAACCAAACTCAGCAATTCTGGGCAGTCTACCACCGGTCATCTCTGTGTGTTTTAAAATCCCCTCTCTCAAGGTGGAAGCACATTGCTGGGCAGCTATTGCAGCTGGGGTGGGTTCTCACACAGGAAGCCGACCTGTTCCAGCCCAGGGGAACAGAACCCTGACTGGGGAAAAGCAATAGTCCCCCTGCCTTCTCCATTGGCCCTCACGAGCCATCGAATGGAACCTGTTCATTTCCCAGGGGCCTGAGAGCCAGGGAGACTGAAATAGCTGGCCGAAAGTCCAAGGGCTGAGAACTGGGGGGCTCACACTAACAAGGTCGCGTTGTCATAGAGGGGTGGACCAAAGCTATTGCCCCAGATCCCACAGAAGGAAGACTGAAGGCGGGGACCTCCAGGGTCACTTCTCTTTGTGCCAGGGCAGTGGCCTTCTCTCCCTGGGTGGTCTGAGTCTACAAGAGGCTTTTCTGACTGACTGGCATTTAGCTAACGGGTTTCTGCTCGGGACGTACAGGTACAGCTGTGTGGCCTCAGCAAGTCACTCGGGCTCCCTCCTCTCCGACTTCCACATCTGTGAAATGGGGATAATAACAGTGCTTGTACCCCATCCCCCCTGCTAATTCCCCTTTATGTCATGTCTTCCCTGATTAGAATTTAAGGCACTTGAGGGCAGGGAGACTGTCTAGCGATGAGCAAGTAGCACAGTGGATGAAGTGCTGAGCCTGGAGTCCAGAAGATCCAGCTTCAAATCAAGCCTCAGACACTTAATAGCTGTGTGACCCTGGGCAAGTCACTTAACCTTCATCTTCAGTTTCCCCATTTGTAAAATAGCAATCATGATAGCACCTATTTCCCAGGGTTATTGTGAGGATTAAATGAGATGATATTTGTAAAGTACCTGGCACACAGTCGGTGCTTAATAAATGCATGTTCCCTTCCTTCTTATATTGGTATCCTCAGTGCTCAGTATGGTGCCTGGCACATAGTGGGCTGTTTCTTTCCTTCTTGGATTTGTATCTGCAGCACTTAATACAGTACCTGGCACACAGTAGGTGCTTAATGAATGCTTCTTTCCCTCTTATATTTATATCACCACGCTGAAGACAGTACCCAGTGCACAGTGGTGCTTAAATGTTTGGGGTTTTTTTTTCCTTCTCGTATTTGTATCCCCAGTTCTTAGCACAGTGCCTGGCATACAGTAAGTGCATAATAAAGGCTTCATCATTCATCAGTTATATTCATTCATCAAATAAGATAATGTATGTAAAGCACTTTATAAATATCATAGTACTATGTAAATGTCACCTGAGAGAATATCTGTAAAGTGCTTGGCATATAGCTGGCACTTAATAAATGTTTGTTTCCTCCCTCCCTTCCCTATTATATCCATATCCTTTTCTGTGCAGGATATGACATGCATCTGCTAA